AGGTACAAAATACGTTTTTGATTTAAAATTGATATTTTCTATCTAGGTCTTCCTAATTTTGTAGTAAAAAATCAATTCCTCCTAATTTCGTAATAAGGTTTTACTAGGACTTTACGAGGAAATATATTACTACGCATTTACGAGGAAATTGACTTTTTCCACGTAATTTCCTCGTAATGGTACTACGGTCTTACGAGGAAAACTGTTTCTCGTACCTGTACGAGGACCCGAGGAAACTAGTTTTCCTCGTAAAATCGAAGTAAGTTCGTAGTAAATTTACGAGGAATTATTTTCCTAGTAAAATTTCCTAGTAAATTCTTAGTTTTCTTGTAGTGCTAAAGCTAATCTATACAAAACCGTAAAATTGTAGAACATCTTGGACTGTAAGCTCACGTAGACTTTTAGTGGTTCTTTACTCTGCGCGAGTGAAGGCAAGTACTGTCTGGAAACCTGAACCTTTTTTTTGTCTCTGAACTTTCGAATAAGATCCTTCAATCTCAACCAAGAGAAAGAACTACATAAGAGAAGAGAAAGGAAGGTGCTCAATGGACTTTGAACCTTTGAAGAACTCGGATTCTGTACAAGTTGGACGTAAGTGTCCTTTATGAAGTTCCATGGACTCTGAATCTGTATCATCTTTCATCAACTGTGGAACCTGTGAAAGTAACTCATTTTGTAACCTTCTTTTGGATCATCATGATTAAAATTGCAAGAGTTGGTTTCTTTTTTCTCAGCTTTATTGTTCTCTTTTTCTGTAACGCTTGTAGAACGGTACGCAATAAACTTTCCAAAACATGTTCAGATCTGATGATGCCTCCTCCACAAGACCCTGTTTGTTTCCTCTCAAACGATTACAACATGTTACGTTCGTATGTTGCTGTGGAATTGTTCTCTCTGTTATCCTCTCTGATCTTGAACAACAAGTGATAAATTTCTTTCTTTTCCCATTACTTTCCTTTCGAATTATGTACTCCATGCCAATCTAAATAACACAAATTAAAAAAAATATGTAAACTATAAGAATCAAATCATTGGTTTTAATTTTTATAAAAAGAGTCGTTGTAAACCCAAACTCCAATCTTTGAAATTTAGAGCACTCTTTATTGAATTTGTAAAGAAAAAGAACAAATCGATTGTTATTTTATGATAACAATCATAATTTGTTTAATTAAGAATATCTTTGTTGTTTTAAAGTTTTAATTGGTAAAATAACATATTTATCTTAAATATTACTAATTATAATATTATTATTAATTTCAAATTAATATTTTACTTATTGAATTATATAATTTGGATAAAAATGTCAATTCACACTGACTAAAGTGTAGTTTTCAAAAAGTAAAATAGAATGTGTAATTTTCAAATTTCAAACTCTTAATAGAATAATTTACAAATTATCCATTGTTATATGAAAGGGTCCCAATTTTTAAAATAGCCTTAGATCTCTAAATATTTTCGCACGGCACTGTGTGTAGATTTTGTTTGATAACTTATATGATCTAAGTTTTGTGATTGAGTTATGCATTATGTCGTCGATTTTGTATTTAGCTTTCAAAAATCTCCAAAACACGAGCAAATTGAACATACATGAATAAAAAAACATATATTATTCATAAGTTAAATTATTAACATGTATTTATTTTGGAAATATATTTATCTCAAAACATGAATAATCTATTTTAAATTTCGTTTTATATTTTTAGTTTTAAAACTAAATCTGGGTATAAATGACTTTTCATATATACAAAAGTGAAGAAAAAAAACCTCAATGATATTTTCTAAATGACAATTGGACTATTCATTTTTTCTAATTGAAAAAAAAAACATTTGACTTTTTAGTACCACCAAGATTCTGACAAAGCCAATTATATCCATGTTAATGAATTGATAGCTTATTACGAATCAGGAAGTTGAGCAGTGTAGTCCAATCAATTCGGTGTAGGAGTAATTTCGATTTGGTTATCATGTGATCATAACTTGCGGTGGGTTTGCGACGGACACGTGTGATGATATTGTAGTATCACGTGACCCCATCACAACTACCTTTAAAATTCGATACTGATTCTCATGTAACAGATGCTCTTTCTTCCGTCTATTAGAGCATCACCATTACCAAATATGGGGTGGGTTCGCCACATGACCTTTTAAATTTTTTTTTTTTTTTTTGTTTACTTTAAATAATGGGTTTATTTGCCAAATAGCTAAAAAATTAAGGAAAATTAGTTTTTTAGAGCATCTCCAAAAAGACTCTCTATTTTAAAGTTTCTAAAACTCTATATTTGAAGTTTCAAGGTGTTCTTCTCCAAAAGAAAAACTTCAAATTTAACTTCAAAATTATTTCTATTTTACATTTTGATCCTTATATTTGTCATAGTTAATATAAATTCATAAAACATTGATAAATAACATACACATATATATAAATTATACAAAAATATTAATTAATAAAATCTTACACTAAAATATAAAATTATAAATACAAATACATGATTATTACAAATAGAATACCACATTTTTGTTGTCTAATTTTTATTTTAAAATATTTTAAAATACTAAACTACAAGCAACTATTTTAAATTTTATTATAAATATTTATTTAGTTTTACATCTAAAACTTAAGTTTATAAAAGGTAAAGTTTAAGTTGAAATACTTATAAGATTTAATTTTTTTTTATGGATTAAAACAATAAACAAAAAGTATTTATGAATTCTAATTTTTATTTGTAATTGTAAAGACCAAAATGCAATAAAAAGATGAAACTTCAAATTTAGAGTTTTGAGTATTGAAACTTCAAATATAGAGTTTCACTCTTAAAAACTTCAAATTTGAAGTTTTGAGGTTTCTTTTTGGAGAGCAAAAAACTCTATATTTGAAGTTATAGAGTTTCTTTTGGAGATGCTCTTAGAGCATCTCCAAAAAGACTCTCTATTATAGAGTTTGCAAAACTCTAAATTTAAAGTTTGAAGGTGTTATACTCCAAAAGCAAAAC